ACTCTTATTATGTTTATCAAACTTTCCACAGCAATGACCACCAACATTCCCAAGCCCCAAGCGCCCTTCTAGGAGCAAGTCGAGAAGATCCGAGAAAAATATGGGGGGCAACAGCTGGCAGTGTTCAAGATTGGAATTTCTCAATGCTTGGAGCGCAGAGCTACTTTTTACTATGATGCGAACTATGATGAGATGTGCTGCATTCATTCTAGTATTTCACTTGCACAAGTAGAAGCCTTAGAGGCATGTTTAATTGATTACTTCAGAGACCAGGCACCCCGCCAATGCCGCAATGTTTTGCCAGGAGGGGAAGGGATGAGGAAAAAAACAGGGTGTCCCAAAAACCCACCTCCCTATTTTGTCTATGTGGTGGCAGCCAACGCTTCCAAAAATAAGCGGATTGGTAGCTGAACTAATTTACCAAGCTGTGTGATCATTCATTATGGTCACTCGTGCTGCTTTGGTGACAGTGACACCATGCAGTGTTTCACCATGCAAATTAGGCATTGTCTGATTAGACATGGATGGGTCGGGCCAGCGCAGCAAAAGTAGGATATTATGCTTAAGGTCAAGGTCAAGCACACAAGACAAGCATTAATAATATGAAATTTGTGGCTTAACATTGCCTCAAGAGTTGTCTAGTGGAAATTTCACTTCATTTTGCAAGGGTCAATTTCTTCAAGGTTGCGCCCAAGTATTGTCCAAGTATCCTCCTTGCATCCAAGGCTTTCAACATGCGGCTTCAAGAGCAAGAGTACAAGGGTGGCTTCAACACCAAGAATTTGTACTACCAGTCTGTCACATGGATCGGCAAGGACACTTTTGGCCAGTCCCGCTTGCAGCGTGAGGTGACAGATGCTTGGTGCCAAAGGAAGTTCACCCATGCCGGCCAGGAGTTCACCAATGAAGCTCCTGAACTCACCGCCCAGGAGATCGAATCGATCCCAGGTGCCAAAGCATCCATGGGAAACCTTGATGCAGTCAAATTTGAAGTGCTGGAACGCACTGGAGAGAAAATGGTCATCCGTTCAGACGAACATCGGTACTGGTCATGTCAGGGAGGCGATATCTCCACATCTTATGCCACTTTGCGGGAGAAGCATGCACAGCTCATTGCCACCCAGAACGTTCCGGCAGCTTCAGAGGACACAGGAGCAACTGCAGCAAGCAGTGGGGACAGTGCTGGAGGCGCTGGTGATCAGACTGAGGCTCCACAGGAGGAGGTCATGGAGTCGATCGGGAAATTGGAAGAGAAATATGGGATCGAGCTCAAATCTTCCGCTGAGGCCACCAACGTTGATCTTTTCCGATGCAAGGATGGATCAATTTGGATACATTCCAACCAGGACCGAGTCCTGCCAAAGCATGCTCTGCTTGGAGGGTTCGGGACTGGGCAGTGGGTCCCTGAGTCAGACAGTTCACCAGGCATTCCTTTCACCATGAGCCAAGGTGACCGGAGCATTGTGCAGTTGGACGAGAGTTCCTTTGCAGCAGAATCCCAAGGGATTTCCACCCTGAGTTTATTCAAGTTGCTCGTGCGTGGTGAGCGTGACAAGGGATTGACACAACACCGTGTCAGTTTCCTCACCATCGAGCGGAAACAAGATGGTGCAGTGGAGGCCGGCTCCGATGGATTCGAGATCAAGATCAAAGCGGGAATGAAATTTCGTTGCTTGAAGGACCCAAGGTCTTCTGAGGGCGCCAATGAACGGGTGACATGCAAGAACTTTTTTTCGAAAGCTCTGGATTCCTTGCAAGGAAGCCAGCACATCATGACTTTGTTCAGGTTTAGGTACGAGAAAATTGGCCAAAGTTTCAAGATCCAGCGCCCATACGTGGTGACCAAGCGAGGCATTTCTCTCAAGAAAGACTGCCCGCTGAAGGTCTCTGGCAATGCTGCCAGTTAGTTGGCGCTGAACTTGGTTCATCCAAGATACTATGACTATAACCATGATGTCCCTGCTATGATGTAAACTGTTCTACTACTGGTTACCTGTTGACAAATTAAATGTGTTCAGGTATGATCAGGTATGTGGGTCATTGTGAGTTTGGATTTGAGCGGTGAACCAGGTATGCGCCGTGTTCTTGCTCAGGGGGCTGCATCATTCACATGGAAAATTCCAAGTCATTTGAAAGTTATAAGTACGTTAAAAGTGATGTTTTTTTTCCTGTTCTGTCCGCAGTCTGCAGCCTACAGTTTTGCTGTTGTGACATCAGTGGCAGTGGTGTAGAAGCAGAAGACATTGCTGCATGTCTCACATTGAGTTCAGCGCGCACTCTAGAGTGAACGCATAATTACTGGCTAATAAAAGCATATTTTTTTAATCTTGGCTATTACTGTATCGCCAAACTCGGTGCAACTTTCACAGTGTGCGCTGAGCAGGGAGTTGAGACTGGTAGTAGCTTAAACTGTTTGCTGTTAGTCCTATGCCCCAGGCTAACCTGCCACAGGACAAGGCCAAAAAACAAATCCAATCAGAACACTCAAGACTCAAGACCCGTTTTTGTTGAAAAGAAACGTCAGTTTTCGATGTTCCATTTACTTGGTGCTCTGTCATGAAGGTTGCTGGTTGAATCCACACACCGTTTACTACCTGTAGGCAGTTGGTGGATCAAGGCTAACGTGTTGAAACACAAGTAGTTGCGATGGTCTTGGAGTATAAGGAGGTGAAGATGATCTGGGATGGCCTAGTTGCTCTTAATGGGCTAGCAGAACTTCACTCTCGCCACACATGGGCCTATGAGGTAGTTCGCGAGACGCTGATGGAGTTTTTGCCTCTCTTCCGTGGAGAGTTTGTTCTTTTCACTGCAATGCTCGAGATGATTCAGCTCCTAACAGTTTTGAGCAACATGACGTTCAAGGCTTCCATGGATGGGGAGCTGGAGGTCAGTGAACTATCTTGCTGGGTTTGTTGGAAAGATATTGTCCCCCAGAGGCGCTACTCTGATGATTCCCGGTGCGACTTCCACATTGAGATTCAATCTATGTGCTTAAACAAGCTCCAGCATTCTCTTAGTATGGTCGTAAAAGCTGAGAAGACTGTTGATGGCTTGAAAAACAAAGTTTGCCATCCTGCGGAGTACACCCACTCCAATTTGAGATTGGTGGGATATGTACTTCGAGATTTGAAACTGGCTCTAGAAGAGCTGAATGCGGAGAGCAAACAAAGCTCAGCTTCCACTTGTGATCAGGCCACTGAGGGAGGCCAAATGTAGTGCTTTGATTTGTTTGCAGCGGTTTTGATCGGGCACCATCAGCCATCAATTGCAAAAGAAGCGGTCCTTCTAAACTCCTGGTTCGCTTGCATTCGTTGTATGTTTTGACAGTTGAAAGATTTGTGATATGGGATGGGATTTCGAGCAAAATCACATATAAATTCTTTGGGAACATTCATTCGAGGAATCTTCAAGAGATTATATTTTTGAAGAAAGTTTGATATTGCCTTCGAGTTCTGGGTCGAGTTATTGTGAAGTTTGCCTGTTCCCTAGCTAAAAGGACGTGAGTTGAGCCATGGCAGAGATGAACATTCAGGCCAGAATCCTTGCTAGCTTGTCAAGCGCCGACAATGCCAGCCCACCTCCTCGAATCATTACCCGAGCTGGCTCAGCAGCTTTCACATCCCCACAAAGTGGAAGTCTGACTTCAAAGGCTGAGGAGGTGCTGCGCGAGACTCCTCTTGAAGAAGAGAGTCCAAATGTGCCAGTGGGTCGTGGTCGTTCCCGTGCCCGTGCAAACAAAGGACGAGGGCGAGGACGTGGTGGCCGTGGTGGCCGAGGGAAAACTCGTGGTGGTGGTGGTGGTGGTGATGATGAGGATAAAGCGAAGGGTGCAGGTTCCGTGTTCCATTTTCCATTGTATTGCATATTGTCCTAATTTGTTTGTTATTATCCCAGATGATGCTGCAACCAGTATCCCAAATCATTTTCAGGGAAGGAAGGATATAGCTAGATGTTTTATGATGTTTTATGTAGTAAGTTAATTATGATAAGGCAGTGATTGTAAGCATTTCGATGCCCCCTTTTCAGGTGAAGCGAACGAGAAGCCGAAAGTCCCTGAGCCCAAGATTAGGATGAAGCGTCCAGCAGCTGCACCAAAGAAAGGCTCAGCAAAGAAGCTCAAGACTCCTTCGAAGCCAGCAGAAAAGTTAGAGGATGAGTCTACAGCTGAGAGGGGTCCGCAGCCGCGTCGGTTGTTTAATGAAAAGGGTGAAAACAATTTGTTGCCAGTGCCGGCTTTGAAAAAGCCATCATCATCGGCAGGTTCCCGTACCCCTGCACAGAGAAAGGCAGTGAACGTGATTGAATGCACCATTCACAAGTGCGGCTGGAAGGTGTTGCAGATCAAAACACCCTCAGGCCGTATCTATCCAAAGTGGGTGTGTTTGTCTGATGAAAACTTGTATTGTTTTTCAGCGGTGAAGGCGCAGGCAGCAGGATTTGTAGATGATCCAGATCCTGCCGCAAACGCGAAGTAAGTTTCATTGGTGAAGAATGCAATGGGCATTCTTGTTTTGACAGGGAAATTCAGCACAGCGTTTAGCAAACAGCCAGCACCCAGAGCAAAGAAGAAAAAGGTGTATGTGAGCTGGGAAAAATGAAAGAACCAAAGCAATGAAAGCACTAAAAATCATGGAAGTTCCTTATAGTATTATATATATAGTATTAAACTGTATGTGACTCGTCGTGTCTAATGCATGGTCTGTTGGATCTGATTGGAGTGAACAACCGTTGACCTTCCCGATCTTCCAAGATTGAAGTGAGGAAACTAGGCTGAGATAGCAGCAGCTATAGCAGTCGTGTCTATCAATTTGACTGAAAAACCACTAGTAGCTAGTAGCTAGAAGCTACTAGTAACTAGTAACACGGGCATCTCTACTAGGGCACCTTGCTACTAGTAGCAAGAAGCTAATGCTTTCGCGGAGTCAACCAGGCGATCCTTGGCGACCCTTGGATCCAACCGACGGATTCGTGGACAGCACAGCCGTTCAACGCCCAGCTGCTGTCGCTGGGCCACGTAGCAAATGTTCTCAGCCTGTAGGCGGCCCTTCAGGGTCTCGGCATCTAAGGGTCGGTCCAGGTTGATCATGGTGACCTTCTGACCTGGAAAAAGGGGCACAACTCCGGAGATTTCGGTACTCTGTGACATTCTGTGACTCTGCCGTGATGCTACACAACACTCGCATTGAAAAGCTTGACACAAGGCAACCCACGATGTGTCACGCTGCATCTGGGCTGACACCAGGAAATCCGCGGAGTCTGATCTCACAAGAACCTTCAGAAGCCGACTGCAAGATCCAACTGGTTCAACCGCCCAGCCTCCTTCCCCGACCCGCTGCCAAATGGGTGTGAATTCATCACGACTTAGAGCGGCATCCTCCAGCAAGACCGTGGAGAGGTCAAACTGCACATGGAAGTAGAAGATGTCAAGTGATGTTTTGATGGCCACCTGGAAAGGGACATGGACATGCTGTGCTTGCACATATCAATTGCCGGAAGCCGGACCCGCAGAAGAGACCACTTCTTTCCAAGGCATGGTGCCATTGTGCTGGCACTAAGCTTGGCGTCTAGAGACCACGAGCGAAGAAACGTAAGGAATGGGTCAAAAATCCACTGAGCTCAAAGCTTGGAAGGGCTGTGAATGTGTTCTGTGTCAATACACGACTAGCTTAAGTAGTCTGTGACTTGCAAACGTGTCGCGTGGACTAAGTGGAGGACAAAACTCTCGGACATAGACCAAGCACCTACCAAGCACATGTAGCACACTTGCACAATGACTTCAAGCCTTAGAAAGACAAAGCAGGATTACATTCTTGCGCGTCTTCCCCCCTCCTTGCATTCACCCCTCAGAACGGCCCAGCCTGCAGGAGCAAAGGAGACGCGGGCGGTGTATTGCTGGGCAACTGTCCAGCGGCCATGGGCACGCAAACATCAGCAGAGGAACCCGGAAGGATGTCAGGACACACCAAGGCCTCTTTGGGCGCGAAGCCGAAGGAGTTCTTGTTCACTTGGATGGCAAAGCCACTCAAAGGTCCTTCCACAACCACAACCACAGCGATGAAACAAATTGATATGTCATTGAACGACCAAGATGGCGTTTCCCAAAGGCCAAGTACCAAACATGCCGGAATGGTCTTCACAAAGTGTCAGAACGGGAAATGTGCCTACTGTGCTTAACTTTGCTCCTGAGCTCTGGTTGCTGAAAGTCATCAACAAGTTGGCAGTTCCGCGTTGCCGTACAAAGGCTGCAGAGACCGCAAAGCCCTGCTGACCGTGCTGCCCTGCTTGTGTGGCTGGAAGCACTTGGACCTTCTGCGCTGACGCTGAAGCTCGGGAAGGGCTGTCATCACCGACACCGCCAAGATCCAGCCTTGGTCGATTGTGACATACAGCGAGAAGATTTAGATCACCCTTAGAACAACAGGGTCTTGAACGCAACAGTGTGTTGTGGAAGATTTAGAAGATGTCAACACCGGAAGATTCTGCGGGTGTTTCTGTTAGAGGATTTTTTTAAATCTTCCTGAAACATTTTCCCACGAAGAGTGCGAAGCTCTCGCGACCCACTGAGGGTGGAAGCTTAGGGTGAAGCTGGAACAGTGAATGTATATATTTACGACCACCATGTTCTCGCAAATTCTCTGCTTGAGGGTGCATGTATCCTATGAGTCAGAGTTAATAATGAATTTGCTTGAAGAGACGAATTGATCAACGTGCTTTGGCCTTGGATAAGGAGATCCACATCACTTGAGGCTGGTGTTATTCTCATATCGAAACGTGCTATGACCAAAAACTGAGCCTCGGACTTCCCGAACTTTCTCGGACAAAAACCCGCAAAAGGTGGGACCCCGAAGCTGTCCCCACCTGCGGGTTTCCAGTTTTCTGACTGCACTTGAGCCGCCTTGAGCGATGTTCAAAATGTCCTTATCAAAGAAAGACTTGCACCTCCGGTGACTCCCACAGAAGCGTTCTTCGCCAAGGTGCAAGTCCAAGCCGCCCCCAACGTCCGCGCCATTCCGCACGCCAGGCCCCCGCTCCAGCTCCTCCTGCGCAGCCCGGCGCGAGGCCTGGCGATCTTCCTCATCCAAGTCGTCCTCCGCGGCGGCCTTATCCTCCTCAGCGACAAACCACAGACTGAAAGAAGCACTAGAGTAGAAACTGTTCACGGTCCAGGAAACACGGCCAGTGCGTCTAGTCTCTCCTGCCCTAGAACTGGCAGTGCTCCTGTTTCAATGATGTCTAAACATGGATCAGCCCAATGACAACTCTTGACCAGTGCGATGAAGCTGGCAAGACCTGTATGGCACCTCTATCAACTTCCTTTCTTCAACTCATCCGTTCCGCACGGCTTTGACACTTCACCGCCAAGGAACCCCGGCTCCGGTCAAGGTGAGCCGGGTCACAAACTCGTCCGCATACCTGGGCGCCGCTTCACCGTCCGGACAGGCCAGGATCGCTTGAACTGGATGTCTTTGGTGTTGTTTCCTCCCATCAAAGGAGTTTAGGGAAAAGCCAGCTTCAGCTTCTGTTGGTATTACAATGGATTGACTAGATGCTGAAGAGGAAACGGTTGCCCACCGTGGTGTTTGGAGTCTCTTGTCCATTTACAGTATCCCTTGGGATGGCTTTCAAATGTCTTTGGATGCTTTTGGTACTGGTTGGGTTTGATTTGGAGGTTCCTTGGAAGTATATAACTTCAGGGACCCTCAAGGGCTGAAGAAGTGAATGGCCACGAGGCAAACGCACCTTTCCAAAGACCGAACAGACCCGTACTCCGAGTGACTTTACAAGAGAAGAGAACATCACCAGTTGAAATGCAGGCCGGCCATGGCCTCCCAAAGTATATATATATATATATTTGCTGAGATGCTTGTGGTAGACGCTGCTCATGAGGGAGAGCTCGCTAGAGAGCCTTTCCAGCAGATTCTTGTCGATGTACTGCGAATCATCGCGAATGGACGGCTTGTCCCCCAGCACCACCTCAGATTGCCCACTCTGACACAAGCACGGCTCCCCGGCATAGTTCCAACAATGAACCAAGCAACAAGGACATGCCTCGACCTGATCGGACTCGTCAAGAAAAGGACATCGAAATCCTTAAGGACATCCTGTCTTGTCTTCGCTTATCCAACAATCATAGAAGGGGACAAACATCATATTCCCGGGGCCATTTCCAACTTCCATATTTGTCAGTCACAGGCTTCATCATTGAAGGGTACAACATAAAGTAATCTCCAAAAACATGACTTCGATCATCCTGTGTCCGAGCAAACTATGTACAGTATATAAAATATCGCGCTGGCTAAACGGCTAAACGGATTAGCGAAAACATGCTAAAACTGACGGCTCAGTCAGGGCTCCTCGGTTCTTCATCTGATACAGTGCCTTCCAAAGGATTTCTCTCTTGGATCAAGTTCCACCACCACCAAAGTTACCAAAGGTCAAACAAGCTGATCAGCTGCTTCTCCATGTCCTCTCTGTCCTCTCTCCCATCACCTTCTTAGCCCCCAAATCCCAACCCTGCAGGTCAGGTGTTGCTACATTGTTTTACTATGTTTTACTCTCCATCACCTATCATCCAAACCATATCAAATCATCAATCTCTTGTAAAACACCCACCCATCGCATCCCATCGCCCCCATTCATGGTGTACGTTCACGGCCACGTTGCACGTTTGGTGGCCTCCGGGTTGGTGGCCAGTAGGCGCCAATAGATGTATCCTCTGTCCCGCAAGTCGTGGTTCGTGGACTCCTCCGTGGCGCACTGCAGGACCTTGGAGACCATGTCCTGAGAAGAGCGGAGTTCCGCCGCAACGGTGGTCTCCATGCATTGATAGAGCGACCCGAGGTGGGCATGTCTCGGACGGATGCTCTCTTTATTTTTGGCTACACGAAGAAGCTCAGAGGTATTGTGCGGCATCGAAGCTGCAAGGGAGATTCTACCGACCTCGAAAAGGACACCACAAGACCTAAAGCCCTGAATCCTGAATGTGCAAACCTGCAGCTCCAAGCTATCTAGAAGTGAATCTCATTAGAAGGCTGATTCGGGAGGCTGCTCAGCACCAACTCCCCAATTCCGGGGCCTGTACATAAGTTCACTCACTAACGGCCATTGCTGCTAGGATCTTGCGTGCTGGATGGCTTCTGAAGAAAGAGCTTCACGATGGCAGTAAGGAGCTGCATCTGCACCATGAGTGGCTCATCCTTAGGTCTGGAATCTCAAAACAATATTGAACAACATAGCGCGGGTTTGTTGATCAGGTTATTTATAAAGTTGTTGTGTGTTTTTTTGTTTGTTGTTGTTTCTCGAGAATGGACTGAAATAGCTCTAGACTCTAGTTAAGATTGGTGGCTTCTGTGGATCCACGACGCGGGTAAGATCAAGAAGATAGAGCAGAGTTTCGCAACAAAAGGACAAACTATGTATGCGGATGTCATACGAAGGTTTTAAAACAAAGGATGGCTGCCCTTTTGAATACTCGCAGTCACCTCCCTCACATGGTAGCCCAGAGTTTCTGCTGGTTACTGAAATCTCACAAAACGTCAAATCGCTTTTGTGGAGACCTTGCCCAAACAAGGGCCCACTCTCCATCCATCAAGCCGGGCACTTTTTGCGCCTATTGGGCAATGACAAAGGAGCCCCTTATGCTCTTCTAGCTTCGTGGAAGGTATCCAGGAAGGATTCCAAAAGCTCGTCCGCGTTGTCGATCCGGCCTGCATACCTCGAAGCAACTAACACGGTGAGACCAAACTGACTGGGGTGGTCGCTCCATCAAACGTGCAGTTGAGATTGAGGGGGCGCCACAAGCTCGAAAACACCGAAAAAAAAATACTATGTCAAAACTCCAAACTCAAACTGGATAACTGGGAAGCAGAGGTCTATTGCTGAACTGGGAAGTGATTCCACTTTCCTTGGATGCCTTTTTGGGGTCTATCCTCAAAGTAGGTCATTGGGGAAGAAACACACGGACTCAGTCCCTGCTCCCATGGACGGAAGAGTCGCCCATCGAAGGCGCTTTACGGCGCTTGACTTTGGCGTCGAGGCACTCCCCGAGGATCCAAATCATCGAGGCCTTCGCCTCCGGCTCGTCCAACGCTTCCATGGACTCACACAAAGCGCTCAGCACCTGCGAAGTGCGGGCCCAGTGGGAAACTGTGAAGTGCTGTGGTTGTGGGAGGGCCGAAACGGTGGCTTCGGTGATCCAGGAGCAACCACACTGATGCCAGCAACCCATAGGGGCCAGGGGAATCCAGGGCCAGGGCTCCTTGATTTTTGAGACTGTCGATGGGTCGTTGGCTTGCACACAAAAGGTCACGTGGCACTGCTGACATTCTGACAAATTGTAGGCCTGCCTATATACATTGGAAATCATTGGAATGTGTTTTGGCCGGCCTGCCTCTACTTTCCCGGAGCTTCATTGAGTTCAAGTCCAAAGTATTCCAATCATGTTTCACACATCAATATTGTGGAATTCAGCCCTTGAAGGTGACCCAGCCTCCAAGCCATATCAAACCGCCCAGCTGCAAAGAGAGAGATGGCTATGGCTTGGTATGGCTTGATATGGATGGCTTTAACCAAATATATAGCTCAAACAAACTGGGTATGAGCCCTGAACGAGACGAAGGTGCACGTCATCCGAACGCGCCACCACTGATGAACAGAAAAGCTCTACAACCCGGGAGTGCGGCAAGTAGATTTCGAACTGTTTACCTCAAGATTGACCCACCCAAATAATCCTAACCTCCCCCTCTCGACGAATCAGCGGATTCAGCACCTGCTCGTAGCGAGAGGGGTATTTCCGGAAGATGTCCTTCACCACGACCTTTAGCGTTCAAACAACGATGCCTCTTGGATCACCACGGACCACAGGTGAGTGCAAAAACAGCTGCAGTATAATATCCTGCTCATAGTCTGACAAAAGCCACCAAACGAAGACCTCTCCCTCAAAGAATGTCTCGCAAATCTGTTGTGTGCTTGCTTTACTGTACATGCTTAATCCCGTTAGCTAAAGCCCACATGTCAACATCTAGGAGCAGCAAACCATGATGTTAAGACATCTCCGCCTGCCAAGCTCAAGAATGGTAGCCACCTCTCATGGCCTTTATAAGATTTCATGAAAGTCGTGCACGTGATATCGACGGCTTCCCATTCCACGCTTCCATGCTTTTACTTAGTTCCTGCCTGTGTTTCTGTCGGAACTGGAGACAGAAACAAATCTTCTCAGCGCTGCCACCGAGCGACGCATGACTCCTGCACGACGTAATTCACCTGCGTCTCGAGTGGCGTCTCACGTTTCACTGAGTTTCGCCGTGTCGTTTTTGGAGATCAACATAGATTGGCTTAGTCGGCAAAGAAACAACGAGATACACTGAGTAACGAGTGGAGCTCCAAGGCTCTAAGGAAAAGAATGGCTTCTTGTTTCTAATAGCTTCTTGCTACTAGTAGTAAGGCCAGGAGCCCCTAGTAGCGTCCTTGCTCCTAGTAGCGATGCCCTTTGCTCCTAGTAGCTTCTTGCAAACTGAATCTACAGTACATCTGCACAGGAAATGGGGGTTTGGTTTGCCAATGGTGCATAAAGGCACTTTATCAGTTAATCATCAGCGAATCAACGGCCAATGACAAGGACTCACGTACTGACCATCTGTATGGTATACACAAACCTCACGTGCACACTTATATGACCTTATATGACCTCTGGGTATGGATATTCCCAATAGGACTTGTGCCGGTCTGCTGTGCTGCACGCCAAACACTGGATCATCATCCACGATGTTGCCGTTGTTTAGTACAAACACCAGAGTTGCATGTTGACCCAAGTTTGGGGCACCTTTCAATCATTGAGTAGTCATCTGCACGGCCTGTCACTCCCCATATATAGTGTTGTCGCTCCCCATAGAACAACACAAATTTTAGGGAAACAAACCAAAAGCATGGGATTCACAAATTTGATAATACAGTATCCAATCGAGACCTCCCTATATACAAAGACTCCAGAAAGAATCTTCAACCAGCATTGCAATCTTTCATTCTAATTTTAGGAAAGGGTGAATGCAAAGTCGGGCAACCATCGTGTCAATGTTGTCGAATCTTTTTGTTTATAGAGGCCAGTTTGAACATTGAGGGTTCGTACCTCGCAATCATCTTTCTTCAACAACATGTCTGCCAGGAAAGGAGCCACAATGAGGTCCCAGGGGAAGAGAAACTTCAATCTCTTCATCAACAAGGCCTTGCTTTGAGGTGGCTGCTTTCAGTATGGGTTGTGCTCAAATTGATATGTTGGGGACCGGCAAGATCTTTGACATGCAGAGTTGAACACCCGCCTGACGAGTTGTTCTTCAGAATGCACAAGATGTTGGTGAGAATAGTCTTTGTGATTAGTGCAGACCCAATGCACAAACACTAGAGCCAATGATAGCAAATCACTAAATAACAAGAACAACAGGACAACCTGCGCTAGTGGGGTACGTGCGAGATTTCCAAGCAAACTGTCTTATTGTTCAGGGTTTCTTGGGAAAGACCCAATACATCAGGTTGCTCCCGTGCTCATGAATCCTGTGAACACTTGATCGTTGTTTAATGAAGTCCGTAATTAGAATGCGTCTTCATATGTTGTCGAAACAAATTTCTTAGAGTTCACACCACAAACAACACCTCCATGGGAAAAAATAAAACAAGAAATCCACACCTTCGTCTCAATGAGCTCCAAAAGGACGTTCATCGCCCGTTCGCAAGCTCGTTCCAGCTTCACCGCCACGCGCCCAATCGAGCGCACAGACTTGCGCACAAACTCCACGTCCACGCCAGAGGCATACCTGGGCGAGGCAAACATGGCTGTCGGCTGTGTTAGCCTGGGGGAGCATGGAGGGGAAGCTTCCTTGGGAATCGTTTCACCTGTAACAAGAAGCTTTTTTTAGTGTCTTTGATCGCTACTGGTAACTAGAAACTACTAGTTTGGAGGGGATGCTTTGTGCACAAAAATCGAAAACTGCTTGTCCAACCCCATGGACTTCGCGAACACACGGCACAAACTGGATCCTTCATACATAGTGTGGTCATGTGTGGTCAATGGTTTGGGAGCTTGAAGACATTTGAAGACTAGAACTAGTAACAAACGTAGTCAAACTTGAGATCCAGGTCCTTACAAAGGTGAAGCTGGGATCGACCGAGTCGTGGGGATGGGAATGCGTGTAGAACCACAGCGATCGAAACACGGAAACCACAGCGCTCTTCACCAGGCCATCTTTTCTTGTTTGACACCCGAGAAAGTGCAAACATGGCATGGAGTCTCAAAGGGTTGCAGTAAGGGTTGAGCACATCCTGTTCCTTGGTCGGATCCACGTTACGTAGTCAGAGCACATCTTTGCTCCCAAGCGGAAAAAGGGTCTGCGCACAGCATGCACATAGCATGTGCATTACACCCCTTCCATCATTATATAGACAGCGTATGGCAGCGTCACATTGCAACACCAATGCCTCCCCCTCCTGCCTGCAAAGATTGTCAGATTGGATCTGACGTTTGCATGTATGTAAAGATACACAAAGACTTTTTATCAAGCTCATCATTACTTCGATCATGGCACGCGCAGTACACAGCAGCGCCAGCAGAAAATTCAAAGCAACGACTACAAAAAAGCAGCAGCACCACCACACCGCCACCAGAAGGTCACCACCACAACGATGCTAGCTGATGCTAGCTGTTCATTTCGTTCGGCCTGATAAAACATTCAGGAATCCAGCAAAATTATGCAAAATTAGTCTTTTCCTGCACAGGCGCTGTTTTATCTTCAAGTGCGCCAGTATCTGTCCACTGCAGGCGCATGCGTTGTACAGCACTGAGCTCTGCCATTGACCTTTTCAATGTCTTCAGCTGTGGGCTCAATGTCAAACTCCAACTCGCTTCATTAGAAGTGATCTTGCGGAATCTTACGGTGGCCATTTTGGAGAGCCAAGTTGCCCTTCTAGGTGAGTATAACATCATTATACATCTAAATACTGGAGATCTCCCTGTCACCATCTCATACATCAAGGTATTTCGCGTCCTGAATCCACGACCTGGCTAAGCAAAAGCCACGAAGCCGCGTAGCTGCTACACCCACCAGCCGCTGAGCTGCGAGGCATGTTTGAAGTTTGGGTGGATGGAATGTTGGACACCTGCCCTCAAGAGTTTGCATATTTTGAGATATTTTGAGTAATTAGTCATTGCATTGTTGAAGTATAGTTGCAGTACAGTAAGTAATTAGTCGGCAGCATGCTGATCGCGCTTGAAGTGCACTTACAGCTGAAGGTGATTGCAGTGCTGGGGGAGGCTTGCCTCCTCAAGACTTAATCCTTAAGTCCTTTTCAAGCAGCAAGAAACACAAAAAAGTAAAACTGACAAAAACAGAACCGGGTGCAAACACAGAGCGACTATCAAAAGCACACTTCGAACTTGGAGTTTCAGTTAATGCGATCTCCCGAGGAAAG